AACGCGTAGACTTATGAAGTGCGACTTTATATGCGTCGTTAGTTAATCTCGTGGGTGGAACGAATGTGGTCTTAAAATCTCTTAGTGAAACTAAAGTGAGGAAAAGTCTCTTTTCTACTTACTTAAGTTTGAACGAGTTTGCATTTAATAAAGTACTATTCATATTTGATAGGACGTAATATAGAATTTTTTAATCAATTTGATAATATTAATTTGATACATTATTTATCTATATCGCTAATGTCGGTTCTTTTTCTTTCTTTCTTATTTTTTTTTTTTTTTTTTTTTTTTGAAATATTATCTCACAGTTAAGAATAAGTTAATTTTGACTTGAATTTGATTTAAATTATACTATTGTTCGTTTAATAAACCTTTGACAATCTTTTTCCAACGAAATTATTATCAAGTTGGTAAATATTTTAATTATATTTTCAGCAATAATCCATGGCCACGCATACGCACGAATAGATAGAATTGTTGTTCGAATTTGATCTATACAATCTTGAATGTCACTAAATAAAAGGAAAAAAGAAAAAAAGAGGAAAGAGAAAAGAGAAAAGACATAAGAAAGGAATAATTTTTCAACATCAGCATATCTTTCATATAAATATATATATGTGTATAATAGCAACTCGCAAAAAAAATGAGAACGTTTTCAAGGGTAAATTTAAATGACTCGTTTGCATTTATTCTGCTTGGATCATATGTTTAATATATAAAAAAAAAAAAAAAAAAAAAAAAAAAAACATTGTTCATTATTACGATTAATTAAAAAAAAAAAAAAAATTAATTTTTACTTGAACTGTTATAACTTATGAATTGCTTATGGCCGACAATCTGAAATTACTATACCAAGTTAGTAAATCGATTATTTCTTCTATCATAATCTGCTATTTATTTACATTCGATTTAAATACTTTTAAACTAGATAAGTTTATATTTATTTCTTTAGATAAATTTTTAGATGAGTTTATATTTATTTAATACAACATCGTTGTATTATATTTCATACGTGCAAATACTATCTATATATATATACATATTAAGTTAGCAAATAATAATTCACGAAGAGAGTTTATTTAAAGATGAATTTGCTCGTTTGCCTTTATTTTTGCTCGATTATTCGTTTCTTTGTGGGGGAAAAAAAAAAAGAAACAAAAATTGTACGATATCGTAACCGAAAATACTTCATTTTTATTTGAACTTTTGTAGCGTTGTTTATGTCATATTATCTGACAATTTATTTACAAAATTACTGTACCTATACCGAGCTAATAAAACTTTGATTATCTTATCAGTCATAATCAGCTGTTATTCGAATTTAATCTGTGTCGAATTTGGAACTTAACTAAAGAAAGTTCATTTATTTTTTTTTTTTAACCGTCATCATCTTTCACACACTCACAATACAAATTAATAATTCACGAGATGTAATTTTTTTCATTTGTCATTAGAAAAAAAAAGAAAAAAAAAAGAAAAAAGAAAATTGTTCGCTATAATAATTAAAAATAATTAAATTTTTATTTGAACTATTATAACGTTTTTCATGTTATAATATCTCACAATATGTTTGCGAAATTACTATCATGTTCATAAATATTGTAATTATCTTATCAGCCATAATTAGCTGCTGTTCGAATTTTATTCCATACAATATTGAATGGCAGAAAATAAATTTATTTTATTCTTTAGAATCAGCATTTTTCACACACACACACACACACGTATATATTAGAAAGGTAGGGAGAACGAAAATTTTTTCGAAGATGTATTTAAACTCGTTCGCATCTTTTCTGGCCAGTCTCATCCGGTTTACCTGCGTGCGTTTACCCGCATAGTTATATACTCTTTACGGCTACGTATCTTTGCCTTGGCCTTTACGATTCTTGAAAGAATCTTAGTTTCGATCTATCGATCGGCGATTCGCACAATCCGATAGATTCTATCCGAAGAGTAGTTACGAACGTATGGAAGATAGGTTATCGTTAATGGATATTACTAATTACGTATCAGCCGTTTTATTGTACCTATTGTATATTCAGGTATTTGCAAAACATTGAAGATCGGTTAGGATCGAGATATTTTCGAGTTTCGTTCTTTTGCTAAGAAGCATTTCAAGAAGGAAATACGAAAAAAGAGAAGAAAAGAAAAGAGAAAAAAAAGAAAAACAGCATTATTGTCATGAAACGAGCAGGAATGAAAGAGAAACTTAGGCAAGGTCTTCTAGAAACTCCATAGGGGGTTTTCCTTCTAATGAGATGTTAATTTAACAGATGTTAACGGAGTAACAACCATTTGGGAAAGACTTTTCTTCTTAATCCAGGAAAAGGATCAAAACGAATTGAGAAAAGCGTTCCAAGTGTTTAACAGATGTTGTATGAATTATAAACCAATCGTATAAATTTATTATTAGATGCAAGAGGATTTTCAAAGAATACGATTCTATTTCGTTTCGATGGCGATAAGGATTATATTTTCGAAAATTTTTTTTATATAGACAATTTACGATGGAAAACAAATTTGTTAAATAATTTATCCATATTTATTATGATTAATAATTTATATAGTATTTATTATATCAATATTATGGTGCATAAAATAAAAAAATATATATATATATATATGTATATAATGTGATGATATATAATAACAATATAATAATATATATTGTTTATTTATTAGTTATTATTAATAATTGTGATAAAATAATTGAAGTCTCTCTTTCGGTCATTAGAAGGGAGAACTTGCGTTATTTCTTATAACATACGGGCAGATGAGGGTTATCCTTTTTTGACGGGAGCCAATGGGGGTGTTTTCAACCCTCGAAGAGATTCTCATGTCTCTAAATATAACGACAAATAAGGGAATCAGTTCGCTTTCATGGTGCCCGTGTTACGCTTATGGTCTGGATATTATCAGCTTGACCCATGCGGGTTCTTTCTTTGTGGGAAAATACGCCGACGAGTCATAAACGAATCACGAATAATTTTCGATAGCTTGAAAATGACTCGGTGTTAATTAATCGATCACTTTATACGACCTTCTCAACTGATATTCGTAATCTTGTAAATGACAAAAGTCTACCTAAATTATATAAATAATATATATACATATATATATATATATATATATATATATATATATATATCGAATAATGTATCCGTATTAAATTAAAAAATTTCGATCAAGTTATACAGCTTCGTCGGTTGTTTTTCTATTTTTTTTTTAATTTTAATTAAATTAATCATTTTATACAACCATCTCGTGATACACCTATCTTTAATCTTTTAAATTATCTTTTATAATATATATATATATATATATATATATATATATATATATATATATATATTCCATTATATCGAATGTTAAATATAAAAATGTCGATCAAGATTCGAAAGGCTAATCAATTTTTTTCTGCTTTTTATGTTTCAAACTCAATTTCTTTTGCAGTATACGCTGAAAAACAAGTTATATAAATAAATAATAAATGAAACGAGATATGACTTTTAGAAAACAAAGAGAATTTATACTTACGATTATTATTATATGAATAACAGTAATAATAATAATAATAATAATAATAATAATAATAATAATAATAATAATAATAATAATAATAATAACAATAATAATTATTATTACTATTATTATTATCACGATTATTACTATTATTATCGATTCATTGATCGTCTAGCAAATTGTCGATCGTACGATTTGAAAAGTTCAACAACAACATGGACGGCTCGTGTGTGGCTCGTTCTGGGCGACGCAACAGCCTCGATAGAAAGGAATTAGAAGGGATCGGTGAGGCGTCGGGGTCGACGGCTAGAAAAGAAGAGGTCGTCGTATTGTTACGAATCGTCCGATTCAAACGAGTACGATGCTTGTACGCGATACACCGATGTGTAGAGGCACAATGATCATAATAATGTCCAGCAATTACCGCTTAGGACCAGCAAGAGAAAAAAGATGGAGAGAAACAGAGACAGAGACAGAGAGAGAGAGAGAGAGAGAGAGAGAGAGAGAGAGAGAGAGAGAGAAAGAGAGAGAGAGAGAAAGAAGGAGTGATAAAGAAAGAGAAGGGTCGGAAGGGGGTAGAGGAGGGGTGAGGGCAAAGGCTGGACTTCATTCACGCTTGGCTCTTTTCATTCGAGCGGGTCGGTCGTGCTCTGCCGTGCCTGAGAACGATGCACCATTGACATTTCTATCTAATACTTTTATTTGTTTTTTTTTTCCTTTTTTTTTTTTTAAATATATATATATATATATATATATATATATATGTATTTCTTTCTTCTATGTTTTTTCTATCATTTAAAGAAAAGATGTAACGAAAAAGAAAGTCACGCTAATAGAAAGAATAGTTTTATCATAAATTCGATTGACAAACTCGATAAATTTTTTAATTGATCCCTTTTTAATTCGGTTTTTGCGGTTTTTTTTCCAACTCTAAGTTGTAAGAAATATGGCAATGATAAGAAGAATGAAAAGCAATTGATTAATGAAAGGAATAATTGATATCTGAAACTTTGGAGAAATGGAAGAGATGCTTACATTTGCATTTACAATAGTTACCTTCTCCCATTATATATATATACACATACAAACATACATACATACATATATATATACACACATATATACTTATATTTATATGTATATATATAGAAGAATACAATTCGAAAATCGCGGGGTCCTCCGGGCGCCGCCGGTTACGGCCCGGCTCGGTAAGTTCGTCCGAAAGGGGGAAGCTTTTTCCGATTGGTCGGTTGAGAGGATGCTGCGTTGCCAGTTCGAGACGATGCTTCGTAATCCGTAGGATAGCGGGGGACGGTAAAATGAGCGGTAGCGACACGCCTCACGATTGGCCGGTATCGGCTGTGCCGCCTTTCGAGAACGCAATGTCTCGGTAACCCCCACCAATAGGTCCCTCGGAGTTACCCCCACTCCTTCGCTCGAACGACACGACGTTGCGCGGCGCAACGAGCAGCGGGCGTGCTCCTCGGCAGTTAGCATTCGGGCGCCTAACGAGCTACATATCCTCGGTGGAAGGAAAAAGAGAAAGAGGGAGAGAGAGAAAGAAAGAAAGAGAAAGGGAAAGAAAGAGAGAGAGCGAGCCAAAAGCCGGACCGGCTCGTTGCGTCTTTTTTTTTTTTTAAATAACTACCACACACACACACACTTTTTACCGAGCTAACCAACCAACCATATACAACGACGCAACCGAGCCAAAAAGACTTCTTTCATCGGCTTGTTCTTCTTTTTTGTTTTTTTTTGTTTCGCAAGTTAATTATCAAAATATATAAATATCTACGCACTTCCCCTCCCTGTCGCCGTCAAACGAGGATCTCTTAGATAAAGAGAGGAAAAGTAATAACGAAGAAAGAAAAGTGTTGTTGCACTTCGTGTACGTGCGCTCCGATCACCACCCCCCCCGCCGAACAACCGACCGACCGACCGACGACCGACCGCACGCACGTCCTCCCGCCAGCAACGAAGAATCACGAAGAAGAAAAAAAAAGGAAGAATTAATAGTTTAACCTCGAATTAACATATCTACCGAAGGACGATTCTTGGAGGTGGTAGAATTTCAATCAGATTTCCGAAAGGACATAAATTCATAAGAAGAAGAAACTCATCGTGACAATTTTATCTCGAAATCATCTTCATCATCATCATCATCATCATCATTGACGAAACGTCCATCTCATCCATTTTCTTCTTTTTTTCCTTTCCTTTTCATTTTTCTTTTCCTCTCAAATTTTTTCCTATCTTACTAAGTTAATTACTTATTTTTAATATACACGTCGCGTCGTCGCGCAAAAAACTTTTCGCGTACTTGACGTGTAGTGTTTTCGATGTAAACGCTCAACGACGAGGCCTAACGTCGGAGTGTCAGTTTTTATATATATATATATATTTATATATATATACATACATACATACATATAATACAACAGAGACATATATATATACACATTTTTTTCCTCTCTTCGTTTCTCTTATGTCCTTTGAAGTTTTTCGTTCTGAGAACGAAGATTAACGCTTCGGTCTTTGTTTTTGCATCATAGAAAACAAAGAAGAGAAAGAAGAAAAAGGAGAGAATATTCTTTCTATATATAAAAAAAAAAAAAATAAAAAAAATAAAAAAAATAATAACAATAATAAAAAATAATAATAATAATAGTAACAATAATAAAAAGACGAAGTAAAAAGTGTTGAAGTCGAAGAAAAGAAGATAGAAAAGGGGAAGAGAGAGACTGACGGATACTTAGTGTTTTTGTGCAAAAAAAAGAAGAAAAAGAAAGGAGGGAAGGAAGGAAGGAAGAAAGAAAGAAAAAGAGAAGAAAATTGAAGGAACATGTCGACCGCCGTCATGAGTACGCCCATGTTCGAGTGCAACGAGGCTCTCTTTAAGGTAAGAACACCTACCTCTTCTTCTCTGTAGCTTTACGATCACGTTACTTCGAAAGAATTCGTGTCCTTCGAATAGACCAGTCGCCTCCTCGGAAAAAGAAAAAGAGAGAGATAGATATAGAGAGAGGAGAGACTCGTGGATAACCGGAAAGGATGAGAAAAGAAAAAGACAAGGAGAGAAAGATGGATGGATGGATGGATGGATGGTTGTATAGTAGTAAGGTTAGAGAGAGAGAGAGAGAGAGAGAGAGAGAGAGAGAGAGAGAGAGAGAGAGAGAGAGAGAGAGAGAGAGAGAGAGAGAGAGAGAGCTAGAGCTAGAGAGAGAAAGAAAAAAAAAAAAGAGCGTCGTTGAGACTCCTCGACGTAAATAAAAGTATACGAGAAACGACTCTCACCTTAACGAACAACTTGAACGTTCTCTTTGGTTTCTCCTTCGAGTTTCTCCGTTGTGGCTCGGTCAAGTACCGTTTTTACGATGAGATTTCGATGGCCCGCCATTTTTCTTTTTCTCTCTTTCTCTCTCTTTTCTTTTTCTTTTTCTTTTTTCTCTCTTTTTTTTTCCTTTTTTTTTTGTTTTGTTTTGTATTGTTTCCGTTGTTTTTGTCTTGTACGATAGACAATATAATATCCGATCCATCTATTATTATTTATCTATTTATATTCCATCCGTTTGTTCTTCGTTCTCTATACCTATTCTTATCTATCTGCGTTTATCTATTCACACTCTATCTAGTTATCTATATTCTGTTTGATATATTAGGTTTAGGAGAGGTATCGTAAATACGAGAAATTTCTATACCTTAAGTGTCTTTCTTTTTCTTTTTTTTTTTCTTTTTTTTTTGTTATTAAGGTTTTTCCGTGTTACGTATCTCAAGGGAAAGAAAGGAGAAAAAGAAAAGTAGATAAGCAGATAAATATATGGATAAAATAGATAAATAAACAAACAAACAAATAAATAAATAAATTAATTAATTAAAAGGTGAAAAGTAGTAGATAATAAAGAAATGAAAAAAAGGGGGAAAAAACGTTTCTAATGACCGTGCTCATTAACATTCTTTTTTTCCTGACCTTTTATATATCTATGTATTTATGTCGTATGTATATACATTACGTATCTCACTCCGATGCTTTGTCCTTATTTCTTTTCTTTTTTTTTCTATCTTTCTTTCTTTCTTTCTTTCTTTTTTTCTTTGTATTCTTTGTATTTTTTATATTGCTCGCTGACTACGAACGAGATTAGGAGGTTAGAACAATTTATAATCTTTGTTTTTAACTGTACAGTTATTAACAAATTATATCAAGATTTATCGTTATTTTCTGTAATCATCGAATGATATTTCGTCTATCCTTCTGTACGTATTATATATATATATGTTTTTGAATCGAATCGTTTTTGCCTTTTTTGCGTTCGCGACATGTTTACATTTTTTTATATAGAATAATTGTCTGTGTTTGTTCATATATATATATATGTACGCGCGTATACATACACATACAGATATACATACACACATACATACACACATACTAAAGGATAGATCGGCCAAGAAAGATACGTATCTTGTTAAGGAGGGGTAGAAACTTTGTTGGCACTTCTCGAGAGGCAGCGGACCGTGACTCTACGCTCGAAGAAGAAATCGACGATCGGTGTGTTAGAGAAAGAGAGAAAGAGAGAGAGAGAGAGAGAGACAGCGAGAGGGAGGGAGGGAGGTTAACACACACATATACACATACATACACACATTACTTATTGATTTCATTATGATACATTTTCTCGTCTTACATGTTTCTCCTTTTTATTTTTTCTTGTTAACAAAGATCACAAAGAAAAATTAAAAAAGGGGAGAGGGGCAAGAAAGAAAAAAAATTAGAATGGATAATTTTTTGTTTTTTTTGTTTTTTTTTCCTTCATACGGATATATGTAGGAAATGAAATGAAATAACAAAATAGTTATCGCATCGTAATAGATAAAAAAAAATAAATTACCCTCCGGATATTCTTTGTGTTGTCGTATATTATACTACACGATTATTTATTCGTTCAATTTGTTCGTCCTTTCGTGCTTTTCGAGAGAGCAAAATTTCTGTGACATAATTTCATGGTCGCAGGAAATCGAGGACGTTCGTTTTTCCACATGAGAAAACGCGTGCACGAAAGTTATCTACTTAATATAGTTTTCGATTTATTTCCCTTTTTTTTTCTTTTCTCCTTTTCTTTTTCTCTTTTCTTTTCTTTTCTTTTTCTTTTCTTTCCATGTCCCTATTGTGTCTTTTCTTTAACAATTATCATCGAGTACACAACGTATATATATATTATTTTAAATCGAGGGAACGTGTCTCGTAACTATCATGTATCTATATGGTTTTTTTGTTCTTTTTTTTTTTGTGTGTGTTGCGGCGCGTATATATATTATTTGTGTGTGCGTTGGCGAGGAAATTTACACGACGGCTTTCCCTTTCGCGAAGTTGTTCCTCTTGGTATTCGTTTCTTTTTCATTCAGCGTAACGCACGAAAGTTCTCTGTTACTGGAACACACAGTGTGAACCTCGATCGAGCTCGTTGGTTCAACCAACAATTCCCTTATTCCACAACTTAGCTCGACATAAATATACAGTATATGGTTCTATCAGTAGGACGTATCGGTTGCGTTCTTGAAGATTTATCGTTGTTAAAGGGTAGTTAGTCGCTAACTCGTTATATTACGCATACATTTTTCTTCTTTTCTCTCTCTCTCTCTCACTATTTTATTCCAAACAGTTTGAACGACTTCCGGTTTAAGTCTTCTCTTGAAAGAGAATAAGCTTGTCATTTCCCGCCTTATATTATTCGCTCTTCGAACTCGTTCGTAAAAGTCAATATGAAAGAAAAGAGTAAAGAAAAATTATTTTTGTTATATTAATATGGCTTTCTTTTTCCTTAAATTTATATATATATATATATAGAAATAAAAAAATATATATAAATTTGAAGATATATAATCGAAGATCTTACAATAAATCGATTTTCATTGACATTTATTTACTTCCTTTTACTCTTTTATTCTTCCTTTTATTTTCTTTTATTTTCTTTTATCACGATCGTCATATCTTTTTCTTTATTGAAGACGCACGCCGCATAGCGGCCATTTCAAGAAACTTGTTAGTGTATATGCTCTGGCCAATGTTATATGTACGCAACATCGAGACACTTTCCCATCGGCAATTTCTCCGATTTCGAAACTCGTTCGTTTATTTGTTCGTTCTTCATTCGTTCAATTGATATTTTTCGATTTTCGTATTGAAAGATATTGACTTTGTTATTGACGTTGTCAATTTTCTCAAAAAGATATATTCTCTATAAATAAATACTCGTCCATCATTTATTAATACGTAGAGATACAAATTTATTATACTTGTTTCTTCGCGCTCTAGCAGACACGTATTGTCACGTGATACATCAAGGAAACATGGCGGATGATATATGGAAACCCGCGATATATGCATATGTATTTTTCTTAGTCTCTTAGAAAATGTGAATATTATCATAATATTATTGTTATTATTCGTAGTCGTCGTTGTCGTCATCGTCATTTGTCGTTGTTGTTATCATCAATGACGAAAAAAAATGTTCTCAGGAGATATTCGAAAATCTATGTAAGTACGTACTTTGCTCTTACGTAAATCGAACGAGATTATTTTCCCGCGGGTATATTTTCGTAGTGAGAAGGAAAAGACGATGACGTGCGTTTCGTATCGAGAGAGAGAGAGAGAGAGAGAGAGAGAGAGAGAGAGAGAGAGAGAGAGAGAGAGAGAGAGAGTTATATTTCGAGTCTGTGGCAATCGCTTCAAATATCATTCGAAATTTGAAATTCTTAAATAAATAAATAAATAAATAAATAAATTAATTAATTAATTAAATTCGTAAATTGTAGACTAAGTCGTAAAAGAAACGTTAAAAGAATCGAACTTTGTATTAGATATTTGAAAAAACATTTTTAATGGATATTATGTGTATGTATATGTATATATATATATTCTTTTTTTTTTTCTTTTCTTTTTTTTTTCTTTTTTTAATTTTTTTTTTTTCTTCAACGAGCGAAAATTTAATTCTCCGGTCACGTTTTAATTGATCGTTCGTATTTTTTTAATCACAATTAAAACGTACATGCCTTTCATACAGAAGAAGCGCGACGAAACGATTCTAAAACTTTCTAATGTCGTCTCGCAATGATACGGATTTTCAGGCTTCGATTGTGACATACCGAGAGTAGACAGCTTCGTTCACACATACAAAACATGCACTATATATATATATATATATTTATATATATGTGTGTACACACATATTGCATACATATGTGTATATATATATATATAAACGACGTTACCTTCACTTTCCTTCGTTCCATTTTCTCCGACGTTTGAAAGTTCCTAATTGGTTGTTGCTCGGCTTGCTTACAACTTTGAAAAATATGAAAAATTTCAAGTTTACGTATTCGCATGAGAAATAATATTTTTTGTTCAATTATTTTCGTTACCTTTCGATTTCGATATAAAATCAGAATTATTTTTCATTGATAATATATATATATATATACATATATATATATATACATGACACATATTCTTCGAGAGACTTCGATTCTTTTAAAATATATCATTATACATACAAAAAATCATTGTTATCGTTGAACATGGTTCACAGGAAATCGTGAAAGAATGAAAGGGCAACAAGTAATGTTATCGTTCGACTACGTTGACTAATTTGTTTGCTCGAATGGTAAATGAGACTTGGTTGTGACATCGCTAAGGTAATTTGTAATTGTAATCGAACTATGTACGAATGAATAATGCAATATATCTGCCGTTGCCTTTGCTCTCTCTCTCTCTCTCTCTCTCTCTCTCTCTCTCTCTCTCTCTCTCTCTCTCTCTCTCTCTCTCTCTCTCTCCTCTCTATCTATCTCTCTCCCTTCTTTTTCTTTCAACGTTAACTTCTTTATTCTTTTCCTCCTTTTAGACCG